AACAGCTACGCATATAGTAGTGCCTTTATAAATAATAAATAAGTACGTGGGGGAATACATGCATGAATATAAGAGCATGAGATATAAATGGGATAAAAATAAAATATTCCATATATTAAGGAAGTTATGGAAAGCAATCACAGATGAATCAGATTCATTTCCTAAGGTATTATATTTTAAAGAAAATTTACTGTTTACATTGTTAGTCAAATAGAATTTGGGGCTAATAAAATATGGAAGCTATCACTTTCTCCTTATTAAAATATACTTGAAGGCAAAGATAAAAACACAGATGCAGTAACACTGGAAGCTAAAGTTAACAGTCAAGCATTTTCCAGAATCTGAAAAAAATTTCCCTTAATAGCAGTATCAATGGAATTCAATGAAGAAACATAATGTATCTTATATGTAAACTTTACTGTCTAAAACAGAAGAAATGGAAATGCAGACCAATCAAAACCAGACATCCCTAAATCTTAAAAGGTTAAACACAAATTTACCATATGACTCAGCAATTCCACTTTTAGGTATATATCCAAGAGGAATGAAAACCTATATTCACATAAGGATTTACACAAGAATATTCTTAGAAGCATTATTCCTAATAGCTCAAAATTGGGAACAACCCAGATGTTCATCTACTGGTGAATGGATAAATACGGATAAATAAAATATGGCATCCATACAATACTATACTATTCAGCAATTTAAAAAAGAAGGAATGAACTACTGATACATGATATGACATGGTTGAGCCTTGAAAACATTATGTTAAGTGAAAGAAGCCAGACATAATAGACACATACTGTATGAGTCCTTTTATATGAAACGTCCAGCAAAGGCAAATCAATAGGTAGAGGAAGTAGATTAGTGGTTGCCTGGAGTACCAAGGGGGAGGGAAGGAATGGGGATTAACAGTAAGTAGGCATGAGGGATCTTATAAAATTAGTTCTAAAACTAATTTATTGTAGTAATTGCACACCTTGGAAAATTTACTTAGAGATCACTGACTTGTATAGTTGGAATGGGTTAATTATATGACATGTAAAACCTGGCTCAATAAAGTTATTAAAAAGCAAACCACTAGGCAGCCAATACTTCTACATCCCAGCCCTACTTTCTCCAATACATGCATAAATATTGCACAGATACTGCTTTATCGTGTATCTGGAGAAAGAGCCTGGCTGATTTGCAATCAGCAGCTCTCAGGTTATTAAAACTCCAATGCTCCAATACAAGTAGGAGCCAAGCAGGGAAGGAGTTAGATGATTAATTTGTGCAATGAATCATTAGATAGGTTCTTTTCCTACCCAAGGCTTCATGGGTAGAACCACAGGCAGAAAAACCTTGCGAACACCCAAATTGGGGTTTGTTGGTTTTCACATACTACTAGTAAAAAAAAGAACAACATTTTTCTAAGATTCAAATTTTCCCCATATTCAGCATGCCTGAGTGCTCCAGTAATAGACTTTCTCATATTCCTTCCGAACAGGCCAGAATCAGATAAATGTCTACCAGCCATCGGATGTTGGATTGGAGCTGTGTGTATCAAGTTGTGCGATAGCTTTGAATCTGAAAGCAAGCAGTGAGAGGGACTACGAACTAGTGACACAGTGAGTGAGGCTTGAGACAACATTGAATTTAAAAGGAAAGTCTGACATTTGATGATATTTTTTAAAAAGAAAAAAAAAGTAGAAAAAAAATAAAAGTGCATTGGACAAAGGCATTTCAGTGGGGAAAGGAGAGTCTTTTCAAGAAATGGTGCTGGGGCCGTTGGAGATCCATATGCAAAAAGATAAATATAGATGCCTAACTCACACCATACAAAAAACTAACTCAAAATGGATCATAGGCCTGAATGTAATCGCTAAAACTCGTAAAACTCTTAGAAAACCAGTAGAGTGATTTCCCTGTAGGTTAGGCGCAGATTTCTTAGAAGCGACATCAAAAGCATATGTGATAAAAGAAAAACATTCATAAATTGGACTTCATCAAAATCAAAAACTTCTGCACTGCAGAAGACATCATAAAAAAAGTGAAAAGGCAAGCAACACAGAAAACATTACAAATCATATATCTAATAAAAAAAAGTGTATCCAGAATATATATAGTTCATATATTAATTTTTTTAAGAGTTTAAGCTCAATGTAGGGATTGAACTCACCACCCTGAGATCAAGGCCCTGAGATCAAGGGTTGGACACTTAACCAACTGAGCCACCCAGGCACTCCCAGAATAAAGAGTTTAAATTAGAACTCAAGAATAAGTAGACAATCCAATTTAAATGAACAAAAAATTGAATAGATATTACACAAAAGAAGATACATGAATGGAATATAAGCACAGGAAAAGATTTAAGCCACAATGACATACCACTTAATGCTCAATAGAATAGCTATAATAAAAAAGATAGGCAATAAGGGTTGGCAAGGATGTTGATAAATTGAACCCTCTTTTGCTGGTAGAATGAAAAATGGTACAGGGGCTGCCAGGGTGGCTCAGTTGGTTAAGTGTCTGACTCTTAATCTTAGCTCAGGTCTTGATCTCAGGGTTGTGATTTCAAGCCTGGTGCTGGGCACCACACTAGGCATGGAGCCTACTGAAGAAAAAAAAAAGAAGACAATCAAATGGTACCTTACCAATTTAAAAAAAAAAAATGGTGCAGCCACTCTGGAAGACAGTTTGGTAATTTCTTTAAAAAATTAAACATAAATTCATCATATACCCATAAATGTCTTATTTACCCAAGAGAAATCAAACATAGGTCCACACAAAAACTTGCATGTGAATGTTCATAGTAGCATTATTCATAAAAATGGAAAAAACTAATATCCATCAACTGAACAATGGATAAACAAAATGTGATATATATATACTTTTATATATATATATTTTTACATATATATGTATATATACACATAATCAAATATTATTTGGAAATAAAAAGGAATGAAGTATTGATAAAAAACATTTGGCTCAGTGAAAGAAGCCAGATGCAAAAGGCCAAAAATTGTACGATTATAATTGTATGTATTCACAAAATACAAAGCTATAGATTTAGAAAACAGATTAGTCCTTGACTGGGGTTAGGAGTGAGAACAGGAGGTGACTGCAAGTGAGCACGATAGATAAATGTTCTAAAATTGTATTGTGGGGATGGTTGCACAACTCTGTACACTTACTAAGAGTCATTAAATTGTATACTTAAAATGAATTGACAGTATGTAAATTATACCTCAATAAAAGCTGTATACAATAAACTAAGAAAAATGTATTCAGCTAAAGAGAAAGGAAAAAAACAAAAATATATGTTTGAAAACTATTTACTCTAGAAAACAGAAGGCAGCTTTAAAAATATTGTATTCTTAATAAGATAATGAACATGGCCTCTATGAACTAAAAATAGAAGGTCATAGAGGAGATTAAGATCTGAAGACTAGGAAGCTATTGGGAATAAGAAAACTCACAGAGGACACTAAACTTCAATACAAGAATTAGGGAGTCCCTGGGCAGCTCCGTTTGTTAAGCATCTGCCTTTGGCTCAAGTCATGATCCCAGCATCCTGGGATCAAGCCTGGCGTCTGGCTCCCTGCTCAGTGGAGAGCCTGCTTCTCCCTCTCCCTCTATCCACCCGCCTGCGCCCCCATCCCCAGCATGTGCTCTCTCTCAAATAAAAAAACGAAATATTTTTTTAAAAAGAATACTTGTATGTGTTTGAGAATATAACCTTGAATTCAATGTAAGAATTAAATTTTGCACTGGCGTCTTCAAAGAGCACGACTGACATAGCAGAAAATTAACTCAATGATACTGAGAACAAACTCGAGAATTTGTCCAAGGACACAGATGAAAAGGACAAAAAAAAGGTAAAAGGATGAGAAGTAGTAGGGGGTACGAAGTGAGCAAAATAGAGCATGTGTGATTGTCAAGCCTATACTACAAGAAAGCTTCTCTGAGATAATTAATAAATAAGTGTTTATTTTCCAGATTGAAGAGTCTACATGTTCTGGACATACAAACAAAGACCATCACCTAGATATGTCCTGGCGATATTTCTGAACTGGTTATTCTCCTTAGCTATCCAGACTCATTCTTGCCCCTTCTCTGTCCTGCTCTGTGCTTCAGGAGGTTGACCTCTGCATACTTTTTTACCTATGCTCCCTTCCCTGCCAGTCACCTTCTAGTTGGGTTTGGCCAATAGAAGGCATGGGCAGAAATGCTGAGGGATGAAGGGTAGGAGGAAAGAGAGTCTAGGGTATTTCTCCTCACTCCCTCACTTTTTCTGTTTCTCTTTTCTTTTCTTTGTTCTTTACTTTTCTTTTAACTGTGCTTTTATTTTTTTAATTTATTTTTTATTAACATATACTATATTATTGGTTTCAGAGGTACAGGCCTATCATTCATCAGTCTTATATAATACCCAGTGCTCATTACATCACATGCCCTCCTTAATGTCCATCACCCAGTTACCCCATCCCTCCACCCCCTCCCCTCCAGCAACCCTCAGTACTCCCTCACTTTTTCAACACCATATCTTAGCAGTAGCTAAGGCACATCCAGATGACAGCTCCCACTGGGTGGACCCTCCTCCACAGTTCCAGCTTTCACCGGCCCCTGGAACACCATTTCCTCAGCAGCGTCTTTATATCTAGAGGTGGTGATGGTTTCCAAGTGTTGCCAGTCTTCTCTGAATGCCTGACCAGCCCAAATTAAGAGTATGTTCTCTGAATCCTGCCCACACCACTGTGAGTAATCCTATATATATGATCCATCTAGGGTGACTTTCCTTTCCTATGGAGGACTGTGATTGATACAAAGGGTAAAGAAAAATATCCATAACTATGTAGAGAGAATACATTCTGACCTACAAAGGAATCAAAGTCAGACCAATCTCCTATTTCTCCACTGAAAAACAAATGCCAGAAGATAATGGAACAGAATATATAAGGTGAAAAGAAAAAATTTTCACTCGCTAATACCATTCTGCCATTTCTGTGTGAAGTCAGCCACATATTATTTTCAAAAGTACAAAGGGTCAGAAAGTATAACATCTACAAACTTTTCCTGTAAAAAAGAAAAAAAGTCAAGATCATTATCTAATCAAATTAAAGATTATTTAAAACTGAGGTTCAAAAATGTAGTTGTGGTTTAAAATCACTGATAGAAAGTATTGAAATTAGATGTATATTGTTTGAATTACATATGAAGCAAAAGATATTCTTTAAATTGAAACTATATACTATAACAGTAAGTAATAGTAGCAATGGTAGTTTATAATCCTATGTTAAATTAACAAAGACCAAACAGTAATCCAAGAAAGAATAAGAATTCTTCCTTGTTTTACTCTTGACTTTGGTAATTGGGAAAATTGAGGATCATACATGTATTACAAAAAAAAAAACAAAAACCTTGAAGTTAATACTAATAGAATTAAAAATAGAATAACTACCTTCCAAATCATTGCAGAACATAATTATTCTATTTTAAATGTAGCTATACCTCTAAAAGAAATAATCTGATAGCTGTATTTTATCCTCAAAAAACAATACTTTCCATAAAACAGATCCTCCTAAATACATACAGATGGCTACCATTTGATAAAGTTCTATGAAAATCTTTTCTTCCATTTGCAAGGAAGCAGTAGATGCAACCACATACTGACATTAGTCACTCTTTATGCACTTGAATACAATAATCAATTGGGCTAATTATTTCTTCTATTATTCAAGGTTCCTGGCCAATATAATGGTAAGAACATTTACTTTGTGAAGGAAAGAAAAAATAATGTAATTTTATTAACCACTTACCAACATGATTAATTGGCTAGACAAATTGGAAATAACTGAGCTAGCCAGCAGATGAATATAGACTATTTTGAATTTTTAATTTTAAGCACTTCTGAGCTGAATCACACTGGATATAAATGGCCCCATTAAGTGAAATATAGAAGTATAAAATGGAAAATGTCAGGAGAGAAGCTAAATGACATCTTTAAATGTCACCTTCAAATGTCATTTACCATCTGGATAAAGATCAGTTTAACTGACCCTGAAATGTAAAAATGGAGTAAGAATGGAGACATCAAATAAATGATTGTATTTCCATTATAAATGCAATGAAGTCTAAAATCTTCAAGATATAACTGAATTTTCAACTTAGAAAATACTTCATAATATACAGTGAAATTGCATGTTATATTTGCTCAAATGTAAAACAAGTATTGGAAAACAAAGGAACCGAGTAAATTCTAATTTAAGAGCTAAAGATGAGCTCCTCTGACAGCAATCACATCTTCCGAAACACCTCTTCTCTTGCCCAAGCATTTACAGTTTTTGTATATCTAACAGTCTCTCCATGTGAATTAAATAGAAATACGGTTCTTAAACTCGGAGAGCGTAGAATTATCTATGGAGTCACTAAAAGGCACGAAACAATCTAAAGTACCTTGTGCTTGAATACAATAGCCCTCCTCTCTCTGCTAAGATGTTTCTCTTTAAGAAAAAAATTTATAGAGCAGCAAAGGTAGGAGAGACATTTATCCAGACAAATCAGCAGTCAGCCCTGTTGGGGGGTGCAGGGGCAGACAGTCTAGCTGCACTGTCCCTTCAAACCTCTGCAGGTGTGAGGTGCTGGATGGTGATGCCTCGTGGAAGAAGTTAGAATGGCTTTACAGTGAAGGGACCTATAAAGTGGGACTTCACTGTCATAGACACTCCTGGGGAAAGAGAAAGCAGAAGTGTTTCAAAGCCCTGTGCAAAAGAGTTGGAGTCCTGGGTACATCTAAAATTTCACTCTCATGGACTCAAACATTCTTTTTAAGAGTTAAGTCTTAATCAGCGAATCTAGAACTATGTGATAATGACAAGAGCATCTGATGTCTATACCACCTTATGGTTTATAAGGCACGCCACACATACTCTCTTCTGTTTGTCCTTGTGAATGGACTGAAGGGGGAAAATCATTATTTTCCTTTAAGAGGTGATTAAGTCGAGAGTCAGCTATTAGTGATTTATCTGAAATAACACAGGTATAAATTCTGTAAAAAGAAGAGATGGCATCAACAGACCTGAAAACACATTTTTTAGCCCTATGTTTCCAGTTTCTTTCTTTCTTTCTTTTTTTCTTTCTTTCTTTTTCTTTCTTTCTTCTTTCCGTCCTTCCTTTCTTCTTTTTCTTTTCTTTCTTTCTTTTCTTTCTTTCTTTCTTTCTTTCTTTCTTTCTTTCTTTCTTTCTTTCTTTCTTTCTTCTTTCTTTCTTTTTCTTCTTTCTTTCTCTTTCTTTTTTTCTCTTTCTTTCTTTCTTCCTTTCTTTCTTTCTTCTTTTTCTTTCTTTCTTTCTTCTTTCCTTCCTTCCTTTCTTCTTTTTCTTTCTTTCTTCCTTCCTTCCTTTTTCTTTTTCTTTTTTTTCTGCAAGGATTTCCTTTCTGTGAGATAAAACAGTTTTCCTTTGGATGCCTTGAAAGTATTCTCTATATACTTGCTTAGTGCAATTTTCCAAATGTGTGCTAGAGGTGCAGAACTTGGGAGATTCTAGAACTGAGGTCCCTAAAGAGGTCAGGTCATTTGTGGGTCTGGAAGAAGACAGAGGTGCTTGTGAAGGGGCACCCTGAGTCCCAACAGTGCAGTTGGGCAGCATTGGCCAGTGGAGACTATGGGCTTAGAGGCAGGCAGACCAGTGTGGACCCTGCCTGCTTACTAGTGATATTAACCTTGGTGAGCCTTGAGTGTTTATCTCTAAAATGAAACTATTTTTAAAAAAGATTTATCTGAGAGAGATAATAGGGAGAGGGGAAAAGGGAGAAAAATTTCCATCAGACTCCCTGTTGAGCGCGGAGCCAGACATGGAGCTTGATCCCAGGACCCATGATATCATGACCTGAGGTGAAACCAGGAGTTGAACTCTTAACTGACTGAGCCACCCAGGCACCCCTAAAATGAAACTATTAACAACATCATTATACATAAAGTCTCTGGCACAGTGACTGGCTAATAATTAGCACTCAGTGCTGGTAGCTATTGAGTAGTAATTTTCCTTATCTGTCCAGCCAAATCACTACTGAACTGACTATCCCAAACATCGAAGATTTAAAGCAAATAGTTGGATAGTCTTTGGGAGTGACAAGATCTGCAGTCTTCTCTCATTCTCTAAACCTGCATTTCGTATTGTCTCACCAAAGAATATAGAAGTCAAATGCAGAACTGATGTGTAAGGTGTCAGGGTTGTCCTCTTGTTTTCGAGCTCCTGTCCTCATTCCCCCCTCCCTATGAGACCTTATTCCAGGGAAGAGTTGTTGCTTCTAGGAAATAACAGGTTTGAGAGAAGCAAGGTAGAGGACTAGAAGTTTCTAGGAGATAGCAAAGTCTCAAGTAATCTCTAATTCTGGAAGCAGGGAAAGGCTGGATTTCCTCATCCATTTCCCTCTCTCTTGTTTGTATTACAATAGACACCACAGAAAGAGCCCTGTTTCTGAATCGTATTTCTTGTTCTCTCCATAAAATAGGGCCTGAAACACCTCTCCTAATTTCCATATATTATCTCACTCAAAATTATTTATTGTTTGTGGCCTTTGTGTCAACAATTTCTGGTTGTTGTGGACACGATGATGAGTAAGACAAGAGTCCGTTCTTACTCCCAGGAGGTTTACAGTCTAGTGTGGGAAAAAGATATATACAAATTAAATATGGAATAAACAGTTGTTATTATATTACAGAAGAATATGGTCTAATTGATTAAATGCCAGGCACTGAACTGGATGTTGAGGATGCTACAGCGATCAAAGCAAGTATCAGCCTCTTCCTCATAAGTTTTCCATTCTGAGATAAAGAACATCGAAGTAGTCAGTAGAGTAATGCACATGTGTAAATATTGTCAAAGTGCAACTTCTACAAAGCTGTCTTTCCTATCAGAAAGTAATTAACTTGAGGTCAGGGACTACCCTCATGGTTACACTGTTATCTTGTTATATACACTTATATATATGTTCAATAAACGTTTGCTAAATCAAAGGCAGATCAAAGTTTTTGGTTTTTAGCCTTGAGGAAAATCCTGAGGCAGAGAGATGCTATTTTCTGCACCACTAGAAGCAGGGCCCTTTTCAGGCAGTCGAGGGTAGAGGGGAGTGGTAGAAAATAATGTTGTGCCTTCTTTAATACCCATCACCGGGCTTGTACTGCAAGGAGCACTGGGTGTTATATGAAGACAATGAATCGTAGAACACTACATCAAAAAATCATGATGTATTATATGGTAACTAACATAACATAATTAAATTAAATTAAAAAAAAAAGAATGTTGTGAATTACAGCCCCAAAACGTAAAGGCACCACAGGGACTAGCTGGGTCTCAGCTATACCCATCAGCGTCCTTTAAGGAAAAGACTAGGTTGTTTAATGAAGGTCAGTTCTATGTGAGGTTTTTCTCTGTCACACACACACAAAAGCCTAGTGACCTCAAAGAGATTTTTTTTATACGCTTGGAAACATAAAGACTTGAACCTTCAGAAAATGTCAGAGAAGTCATATCATTTCAATAATAGCAAAATTAAAATGTTTGGATGTTTAGCTGATGACTGCCCTCATTTAGTAGAAACTCTGAGTTTAATGCAACACCCTGATATCTGTGTCTTTGCATCTATATGTGGCTTCTATATGTCCAAACTACAGTAGGCAATAAATTTACTATCCAATAAATATCTGTTGATTGAATGAATGAAAAAAATAATCACAGTAATAATAATAATAGTAGTGAAACAGACTGGCATACCTGACTATAAATAGAACTTCCGGGGAGAATAGAGATGAATAATAAAGTAGAAAATGACATTTTTATAGGAACCTTTGAGAGTATTTAGATTAACTTCTACATTTATGAATAAAGACTATGCATTTCAAGTTATTTGTTCAAAGTCACAGGGAATGAGAGGCGGGCCTCAAAGTCAGCTTCTAGACACCATGACATGTGAACTTTCTAAAAAACCGCACTCAAATTCACAGCTAATGACAAAATGTCTAAACGTTATTTTCTGCAAAAGTGTAATTCTTGATTTATTGATTGTATAGATGAGA